TATAATCCCATGTAAACATACACACGTTGAAAGGAAAGGTTCTAAAATGTTAATAGTAACTACATTTGGGTCATAAAATCATGGGTGATCCATGTTTTTACTTTCATATTGTTCATCACTTTATGAATTTTTTAAAATGAGGCTGTTAAATAACTTATGTAATAACAAAATATAAATTATTTCTTTAAAAAGTCTACAAATATGTGCCTGAGACATTTTTAAGAAAAGATGCAAAAACAAAAATTAATTTGTCTTTCTTTCCTTTATTTTTGTTTTATATAAAAATAATCTGCCCACAGAGACCTACACGTTTTAAGTTATTTAGCCTGTCAAGCAAATTAGACCATCTATCAGGAGAGATTTTAAGAAAAAAATAATGTTCATAAAATCTGAGCTTGTAAACTACATCTAAAACATAAGTACACTCTCACTTAGGAATACAATTTGTTAAGTAGTTGAGAACTTGAAACACATCTTTTTTTTTTTTTTTTGGTAGAAACACAGTGATAAGGCATAAAGGTCAGTACACAAAATCCACTTAATCCTAATGTACATGAAGCACAGAACATACCGAAACCCAATCACCATGTAGGTCATACTTTCTATGGGTAAAATGATTTTAGAATTGTGTATTAAAAGCCAGAAATCCATCTCTTCTAGCTACAATAGGATCACAATTATGCCTGCCATTCTAAAGTGTACAGTAGGAGGAAGAACTCTCTCATCCCTGATTTTAGTGGCAGCTGCTGCAGCTAGTGGGCTTCATACATAGCATGGAGGATTGGCAGAGGTCTTTAAACCTTCATAAAGATGAGGACATCTTACTAATATCATCTCACCCAAGACTCCCTTGGTCCCTGTTCATTCCAAGATCACCCTTTTTCTTTTATCCCAGCAGCCTCTGGGGCTGGCCCTTTCATTATCACCATCTGGCTGTCTCTTTCCCCTTGTCTGTATAGAACAGAACAGGGCATGTCAGTTTGTCTCCACCTTCCTGACACAAAAAACAAGTCTACAGCCCTTCTGAAGTTTGTTTTTATCTTTTTAATGGAGGAAAGGGGAAATAAGGATTAGAAATGAACCCCTTTCCATTTCTCTCCCTACTCTATTTTTACCCGAACCTAGTAGGAAAAAACAATCACATTATGTAGTGTTGGGTCTTTGGATATACAGATAATAATAATAAAGATTCACTCACTTCTTAAAAAAGAAAAACAAAAGAAAACTTCAGATGATCCTTAGCATTCTATACATTAACCTAATGTAGCCTATAAAAGAGAGAAGACAGCAGGATATGTGATGGAAAAAAAAAAAAAAAACAGTTTCTGGGAAATGGGGTAACTGATGTCATGGGAGAGAAATGTGGCTGATGATGCTGTCAAAGTACATGACCATCCCTAGAGATGTGCCCGCAAGTTACGATGTTTCCTCATCTCTAGATTTCTACTTCCCAGATCACAGGTGATCAGGTAAAATTGGGAAGAAAGGGGGAAAGTGGCCCTAAAGAATCTGCAGAAGGACAGGAAGATTAGCAGAAGCTTTTGAGGAACAAAGCGTTCCTGTGGCCACTCAGACTGAATGTGGGGTGGTCGCTCCCTGGTGGCCCTTTGTATGTGAGGGTCAGACTGGAGTTATACAGAAAACACTCCATGTGCCTTTACATATGGCTTCTACTAAGAACCCCTAACTCCTAATTCACAGAGAACTATCACTGTCATTCCATTCCATGATCTGAGTATTCTGCAGACAGAAAAGAAAGGTAATCCTTAGAATTCACACACAGAAAATTACTTTAAATCACTAAATTGGTCCTAAATAGAAAACGAAAGAAAAGTGCAAGGTAAAATGTGCATAAACATGTCTTTACCTCTGGTCTTACTCTTCTTTGACTTCTTTCCCATGAAGAAAGGGGCAACGGCCTGAGAGAAGATATCTAATTGGAAGTGGATGATGGAGTGGCCTGGCCATCACCAAGAGACTAAAGCTGAGCTGCAGGAAGTGGTCTGGGACCCTACAAATGCATCCTCATGTCACCCATGCACTAGGGAAACATATACACACACTTCTCAGTAATGGATTTTCACAATGAACTAGTTTGCCACCTTTTCAACTCCTTTTCTGAACCCCTTTCCTTGCATTGTGTCTTGACCCTAAACACTTACAGCCCTCAAGGACCCTCTTGGCCCACCATGCCTACTCTCTCTAAAACTTTCCTCCCTCTTCTTTTTCCTGATTCAAGGCTTCCCTAACACACAGGACAGTGTTAGATATTATTCTTAACAGCTGATTATAGCAATTAACGTCAAGGAGTGAGTAAGGCTTAATGGAGGGATCATTTCTATTTTAAAAGAAATTTCAGATGGAAGGAGAAGGTTGCTATGCATATTTGAACTGGGCCTTCAGGGATTCAAGGCAACTCCAGTTCACAAGAGTACCTAATTAATAGTTTCCCTAATTTCACCTTCAGGAGAAGGGAAAGCCCTTGTTGTGCATCTGCCTCTTCAGTCACTGCAAGAACTTAAGATCCCTCCAAAGAAAAATAAAAGAAGGAGGGAAGAAAATGCAAGAGAAAAACCTTTGTTCTTCTTTGTCCTTACAATACAATGGAGTAGGTGTGGCCACTCCCCATTGCAGCTTGGAGAGGTTAAGCCTTATGATTAGTCATCTATGACTAAGATATTTATATAAATTCATAAGGTGTATATATATGACTAAGATATATATATCCATAAGATGTATCTATGCATGTGTGTATATGTATAGACATATATATATAGACATGTATATACATACACCTTATGGATAGGCACCAAATATATGTGCAATGTATCAAGTCATGCAGTTGATTTCACTTTTATCAAGTGAATACTGATACTTATAAAATGGAGTGAATATCATTTGTTAAATTGCCTTTGAAACTACCCGTTAAATTCATTTTGTTTGGCAGCACCATTTTTATAAAAAAACACAATGCCTGAATTGCCTATCTAGTCAGCTATTTACAATAAGGTTCCCTACTCATAAATGAAAATGAGATCATTGTTTCAGTGAAAAAAGAACAACCTCAAAGCCTCTTATCCTCACTTAAGCTCAACCTTACCTTCAGCATATTAATTTGCAGAACTATGTTCTCCTCCATATTCTACGAAATCAGGGCTACTGATTTCTTCAGGAGACATAAAAAATTTGGAGAGCTAAGCTTCTGCCAGTTGGCAAAAATAGCTTTCAATCAGCTACCTGAATTAGTTTGGGAGGCTGGAGGCATCACTATTTCCAAAAGCCATAGTGCTAGTCAACAGGAAGATTATAGGCATTTTGAATCAAGTTCTCAGACTGTGGTCTTCAGTTTTTCTCAAAAGCTGCTTATAAAAGAAGGACTGTGTGAAACTTTGATATTTACATCAAGTCACAACTAAGGGGCAGGTTTGCAAAATCAATTGTGCAGTTTTTATCCTCACTGCACATTTACCACATATGTCCTTTATTACACAGTGGAAAACCATTAAATGCACAGTAGTTTTGCCAAGTGGCATTATGCATTTAACAGCTTTATTCATTTAACAGCTCCAACTCTCATTATATTTTGCCATGTGGTACATGGGATTTTATGCATTTAACAGTTTAAGAGGCTCTATGGTATTTTCTTTTCATGTACTTCATACTATGGTTGGACATCATGTCTTAGCAAACTGTATTTCACTGATTTCATTGATGAGAGAAAGTCAGAGTAATCTGGAAAAATTACTACACTGAAATTGAAAAGGGAAACAAACATTCTAATCCCTTTCCAAGTTCCTTGACGTTCTACTCCTATCCTTTTATCAACATCTGAAAATAACCTACATCAGGTTAAAACTGCAGGTAAAAAAGGCTAACCTTGTACTCTATAATTAATCCAAGTATAACATTTAACTATAGTTTGAATTTTTTTCAGTTTTAAAAACTTAATTTTTATTGAAAACCTTCTTGCTTAATAGAAATACAATAGGCACTTCCTTTCTTTATAGCACACAACAGATTTTTTAGGGAGATGATCAACCATTTTACTATTTACATATGTAGGGATGAGAACATTTGTCATATAAGGACACAGAGGAAATCAAGCTCAGAATCAAAGGACTCTCAAAATCATGCTTCCATTAACTTTTGCTTCCTCCACTCTGCATTAGGTGTTCACCCTAGGTATAAATAAATAAGCACGTACCTCAAACTAACCTAGGATTCTAGGTTTGGGCAGACAGTACCTTTAAATCAAGAGCTGAAGCAGATAGTAGATCCCATCAACTGTTGCTGCTTTCAGAAATAAAAAACCTAAGCATCTGTCTGCTCTTTTCCCCAGAGCATTACATTCTCCACAAACCCAGCACTCTGAAAAATTTTACTGGATAAGCTTCTATGTTTTTCTGTTAAAAGATTTTAGCACTTACTCTGCACTCCCCCATGTGTGTTTTCTCCTGGAAAAACAACTGTATTCTGTACATAAAAGAAACACCTGACATGAAAAGGTGTCTCTGGGGCTGGGGAAAAGTGGTTATTATAAGAGTCAGCCATTCCCCTGCTGGGAACAGGAGAGGTGATGAGACTTGGCTAAAACTTGGTCTCAGAAAGGTGCTGTCATATACATTGTAAGTTTTGTTCAAATATATATTTTTATATGTTTAATATATTGATATATGTTTCAAATATATATATATATATATATATATATATGGAAAAGGAGAGAAAAAAGGTACACTGCAGTGTTTAGAATAAGGAGAGAAATTATTCTAGGCTATTTTTTTTTTAATCTTTAAAAGAAAAAAGTTGGGATTTTGGCCTCATCTCTATTTTGAACTCCAACGGGAATAAAAGCAAACTGGAGAGCAAAAGGCAGAACATGACAAGTTCCTTGGGGATTATTATTGTTATTATTATTATGGGAACAGATGTATTTTTATTGGTGGGAGGAGGAGAAGGGTCTAATTCCAGCCCTCAATTTTGCTCTTTTAAAAACCACTCACCTGACTTTTATTTGCAGCCACTTTGGCAAACAGGGCTTGAGACACCTTGGCCCTTTTCATCTCCTGTTGGATCTCGTCATAAATGGCAGCTGTGATGTTGACGTTGGCGCCGTCCACCTTAATAGGGAGGTCTGTTGTCGGTGTCGAGGTTTTGGCCTACCAAGAGACCATGAAAATAATAATTTAAAAAGTGTTGCATTCAGCCCAGCCATCTGTGCAGAAATTATCAAAGGATTTCAGTCAGCTGATGCCAAACTGCATTAGCTACAGAGGGACACTTCCTGTCCATTATTCTAATCAGGTTAATTGTGATTGGAAATAATTGCAGTGCATTCCTATAGGACATGCAGAATCCTGTCAACCCTATTTTCTCACAGTAGCCCAAATGATGGTTCACAGGTAGGATGACTCTCCTAGACACCAAACTATAAGCAATCATCTAACTACAAAACAAACATGCAGAACACACATGCAGCTACCTTTTTCTTTCTAAAAATGGCAAACCTTAGAAGAAGAGCCAATTCTTCCAGAAAAAATGAGTAAATGGGTAGAGGTCTCTAAATAATACATTATTACTCAATTTAATGCACTCCGGAGTCTCTCTCATTCTTTATTAAAGCTTTATGTATGTCATTCGAGTATGTATGGTTTCCCATCATTATCTTCATTATGCTACCCAGACAGTCACCTAATTTCACCTAGGAAATCAGTGGAAATGAAACAAAATTTCATTTCATAAAACTAGGCTTCAGAATGCCTTTGATGTGCTGTTTTCATTTTCTTAAACTCATATTGTGGTTTTATGTATTCTGCCGTGCTCATTTTAATTGAATGATTTCCCATCAGCTTCAGAGACAAATGAAGGGCAATATAGAAAGTGTCTGTACTTCTTGGGGTTAGGATAATCCTAAAATGTTTAAGTCTACTTAATCCAAAAGATGGTGACAACATTTACTTGGTGTGAGCCCTGGAATGCTTTGCTGGTGTCTAACAAGAGAGGGCTGAGACATCTTCTTAGAACCACTGCAGCAAGACTTTAGGAAAAGACCTCATTGATCCTTGTGCACTACCAGCTGAAGTGGCCAAACCTGGGTTTTTTTTCTTTGTCCTCATTCACCCTAGAATTCCAGACCAACAGAGTTATTCCCAAATCACAAGTTTCCCTGTGCAGATGCCCTGAGCTATTCTCTACTGGATCCAGCAGGAGGAAGGTCCAGAGAAAGGTGTAACAGGCAGTTTGGACCCCCTGTGATCAATGGTGTCTGGAGGCAGAACTTAAGGACCTACATTTCCATAAAGGCTTTGCTTCCTAAGAGTACTCAGCGACTTCTGGCCATTTTCCTTTTACCTCCTTCTCTCATAATATTTTCTAATTACCGCAAAGCAAGAATCAGTATAACGTATGGTGCTCTTTTAAGGGCCAGGTACTCCAGAAAGTATTTAACTTTTGCTATCACATTTAATTCATTTAAGATTCCAATGAAATAGACATCATTATTTTCATTTTACAGAGGAAGAAACTGAAATAAAAGAAGATCTTAATCTAGGACGCCCAGCAGCCCATGAAGGAACCATGATCTAACACAGTCTTGCAGGCTTGAAAGCATGGGCTCAGGACACTGCACGACATACTGCCTCTAAAACCTCCAATGTATGCCAGGTGCTGCTACAAGAATTCCCTTGCTAGGCTGGGACTTTCCCATTAAAATTCAATTATCTGTAATTTTTTAAAAGAAACTCTTTTTTCTGCTCAAAATTTCTAGTTAACCCACAGGGCTTTCCCTGTTAACAGAAGCTTTAGCATAACATGTCTGTCTTTCTCAGTTCAGTTTTCATAATTTGCTTCACTGAGGATCTCATCCTGCCTGACAGGTCAAATCTTCTCTAGAACCATGAGGGCTAAGATGAAACCCCTCAAGGAACTACAAAATATGGTTGAGAGCCCAGCTTTTGGAATCAGAGAAACTACAGTTCAAATCCTACCTTTTCCACTCAGCCATGTGACGTTACACAAGTTACTGAATCCATCTAAACCTCAGTTCCCTCATCTGTAAAATGGGCACAATACCACAAAATAGTGACAATTGAATTCATGCATAACGTTCACAATACCTAATACACAGTAAGCATTTTAACAAATGATCATTCTAATCTTAGTATTGTTTTGTTATTATTAAGTACACCAAAGAATGCTGGCCAACTGAAGAAATAAAAAGAGGCTGGAGGTGTAACTTCAAATTTGAAATTTCTTCAATTTGTTTTCAGCTACTAACAAAGTACAGATGGGATCTGGAAAATAATCTCCCTGTATCAATGTAAAGCTGCCTGTGTACACTAAATTGCTGACTCCAACTAAAAGGCTGAGTCAGTAAGTACTCCTCTAATACTTGTTCTCACAATGAAATCTGTGCTGTACTATGATCTTTACTGTTGAGATATGTCTGTAAAAAATTTTAAGTCAGTAATCACAAAATATTTTAAAAGACTTTAATAAATTCTCCTTTCTCAATCTTTACCCGAGAGAAAAAGAAGACAATTCTAGAGAATGTACAAATGCAATGCCATGATTGCATTCTCAAAAACATGTTGAAATATTTATTTTCAAAAATCTCAAAACTGTAAAATTAAATAAGCAATTTCCCTGCTATACATATCCCTAAAGGGCACCTTTAACTATGAATTTTCTAGATGGGATTCTGCTCAAAGTAAGCAAAATACTGACCCTAACTGTGTGGTCTTATAAGTCGGTCTGGCACTGAAAGCTATCAGGTCTTTGAAAACGTGCCTACGATATATAATCTTGTCAGGAAAATAGTACAAAAGAGCTGAAAACAAACACATAGACCTGTGTTATTTTCTAACAAGCAGAAGTAACTTTCTAAGAAGAGCCGCCTTGACAAGTGGCCATAAAGTACGGTTGGACTCTTCTATAATGGTTTAACAGGCTTCGAAAGTGGTAAAAATATTGATGAATTTAGCAGAAGTAAATATTAGTGTACATTAACAACTTGCCCAACTTACTAACTCAATATGTATTCCCCAGATTTTTTTTAAATAAATAAAAATGCTTGGTTACACTCATCCAAAGTAAGCAGCCAAGAGACTTATTTTTGTTTTAAACAGTAACTAAACCTCATAATTCACTAAAGACTGAAGTGTAAGTGACACAATTTGGCAGTGCATGATAGAAAGTAATCTTCAATTAAAAGTTTATTGCAGAGTACAAAAATATAAAGAGTTAAAATGTGTGAAAAAATGGATATACTTGAAAAAGCTCAAATACTTCTACTAGAATACAATTCTGCTTCTATGTTTAATCAGTTCCTTAGAATGTATCAGAAAACACTCACAAAACCAAAGCTATAATATCTAATCAAAATAACCTTTGGTTTTTGAACCACCCATTTTTCAGATTTATATAAATGTATATCCATTAGGCCAGGCACAGTGGTTCACACCTGTAATCCCAGCACTTTGTAAGGCCAAGGTGAGTGGATTACTTGAGGTCAGGAGTTCGAGACCAGCATGGCCAACATGCTGAAACCCCATCTTTATTAAAAATGCAAAAATTAGCCTGGTATGGTGGCACGTGCCTGTAATCCCAGCTACTCAGGAGGCTGAGGCAGGAGAATCACTTGAACCCGAGAGGCAGAAGTTGCAGTGAGCCATGATAGCACCACTGCACTCCAGCCTGGGCAACAGAGCGAGACTCCTTCTTAAAAAGAAAAAAATGTATACCTATTAAATATTGGTTTTAAGAATTACCACTCAGAACCTGTAACCATCGTAGCAACAGTGAATGGGCTGGCTTTATCGTAAGTCTATCGAGTAGTAAAAGTTTAGGGGAAATAGGGCACAGGCCAGAAATGAGGGGGCTTGGATGTGAACTGGAAATGATCCCTGACTGCTGAGAACTTGACCCTTGAGTTAGGAGCTTTGCGGCACACATTACTAGATGTATACACTTGCATGAGGTCTAAGAAAAGAATACTTTTCAAGTATGTGAAGAAGAAGAATGGAAATCACCAAATCCTGTAGGGAGATCATTCTAGGAAGGAAAATAATTAAGGCCTACCTTTCCATCATCATTTTCTAGAGGATCATCAAGTGACATTTCAGTCATTCTTACCTAGCTACTGCATATGCATGCTTCTACTACATGCTTCCTCCATTTTGTCTTTTTCAGACTACATAAAACAGAGCTTAAACTACCCTCTGCCCTCTGCCCCCTGCCCCCAGCCACCCTTCAGCCCATCCAGCCAAACCAAATAAACATACCATTTAAGGGAAAGCAACCTGCTTGCTATGCAAACTCAGCTTCAACACAAATGTCTAACTACTTTTTCAGCAACTGAGCAACTATATATAAACATTCTAGAGCCTGCCCCTGTGCCCACTTCTGCCTACCCACCCCTCACCTACCATGTATGGAAAAATGGGACTTCCTAAAGGGATAGAAATATAGTATGAGATCATATATGGTTAGAGGTTCATATCTTTTGATCAACATATTCAGCGGATTAAAAAATCCTTGAATTGGCCTGGTGTGGTGGCCCATGCCTGTAACCCCAACACTTTGGGAGGCTGAAGCGGACAGATCACCTGGGGTCAGGAGTTCAAAAACAGCCTGGACAACATGGTAAAACCCTAAAATAAAAAAAATTAGCCGGGTGTGGTGGTGGACCCCTGTAATTCCAGCTACTTGGGAGGCTGAGGCAGAAGAATTGCTCGAACCCGGGAAGTGGAGGTTGCAGTGAGCTGAGATCGCACCACTGCACTCCAGCCTGTGTAACAGAATAAGACTACTTCTCAGAAAAAAGAAAGGAGAGGAAGAGAAAAGAGAAGAGAAGAGAAGAGAAGAGAAGAGAAGAGAAGAGAAGAGAAGAGAAGAGAAGAGAAGAGAAATCCTTGAATTATGTCTCTTAGTGTTCGAGGGAAAACACAGTACGTAGTAAAGGCAAAATGTTTCCAAGTCAAAGAGTGAAAAATCCGGAGAGCAAGTTTCTCACCTGAGGGGTTCGGGAGGAGCTGGGACTGCTGGAGGCCGAGGAGACCATGCTCACATTGGGATTCATGCTCCGCTCCCTCTCATCCTGGTAGATGCGATCTCGCTCCACTTCTGGCAGATTTAGGAAATTCTGCATGGCCCTCAGGTTTACTAGAAGAGACTGAGAGGCTGTCCGAGGGTCTTCTTCCTTACGCAGAATCTCAGACAACAATCCCTGATTAGATGGGGGGAAAAACAGACCAAGTCACATTTGCAGGTATATGTGTGTGTTTCTGTCTTCTGCCCCTCTCTTCCTTTGTTTGGTTTAACCAGCTAGCTGTGATGTCAAAAACCTCACGCTAATTCTGTAGGGTTCTCTGGTATGAAGGGAATGTGCTTGCTTTCTGGGGGATATGCATTATTTTAGGACTGTTCTATTCTGACACTTTATCATCACTGTAATAATCATCGGTGTACAGACATGCCAGCTAGCAAGGTAGGCACTTGGGAAGAATTGTGAAACCGCAATTACCACCAGGTGCCTCCTACAAGTATTTCAGGAACTGTTAGAACTCTCTCTGCTTGAAACTGGGAACACTTGGCAGTCCTGCTTAGCTTTACAAATCTGCCAAGTTTGGTAAATTTAGTTTCGACATTTAAACAGCATGGGAGATTTACATCAATTTAAAAAAAAAAAAATTGGCTGAATTTTTTTATGACCGGCCACTGTTTTCAATATAAAAATTTTTTTTTGGCAAAAAAAAAAAAAAAAAAAAAAAGAAAAAGAAAAAGAAAAAAAGACACAAAGCAAATGGCTAAATTGTATTAATCCTCTGATAATTTCCCAAGCTACACACACAATAGTTATCCTTACATATATATGGAGGGCACCCAAAGCTTTTATGAGATATCTTCATCGGGGAAACCCTAATCTCACCAGCAAAGCAATGAAAATGAAGGCACCTCTGGTGAAGGGCTGAGCACAGCATAACAACATGGAATGCTATGATAGGCCCAGACACTTTCTGAATGTGTGACTCACCCAAAAGAAAAGCTTTACATAGGGAAGTAGTGTTTTCATGTGCTCTGATGACAGGGAATTCACAAAGAAAAGAAAAGTGTTGCCAAGTCTACAGAATAGTATGGACTCCAGAAAAGGGCTGGAGATCTAAGGTGGGACACTGTAGTATTGGGGGTAGGTGCAGATTCATTTCCATTCTGCACACTTGTTGGATTATCACACAGAGACATCACTTTATATTCCCAGCTAATACTGCTTCTCAGAGCAGTATAAGACAGGGTTTAGGATTATCCCCCTGGGAAGAGCTGAGATGTTAATCCCATATCTTAGAACAGATGGGGCAACTGAAATCATGAAAAGTCACTTCTTTAACTGTAGTCAAGTAGAACAGATGCCAAAGATGTTTCCACTCAGGTGAAAATTAATGCAAAGGAAACACTATCAGATTTCTAATATGTGGCTTAAATATGAAAAGGCAATGGATGTAAGAAGAATATGCTATCTCTGGTGGTCCAAAAATATTCAGGGTAAGATAGGCAATATTTTAAAATAAAGCAATGCATTATAACATAGTGAAGCAAATGCCACTTATAGGCAGTGCATCACATAGCACTCCAAGGAAGCAGTCACCACTCAGAACATCACATAGTCAATTTTACTACGAGGAACATTTCAAGCACTATGTCATCTGTCAGTTTCACAATTTGGGTGTCATGTAACTTTGATTTAGAGAAATTCTAAGTAATACCTGGTATAAACGCTAGAGATCAGTGTGTGGTGTGTGTGTGTCTGTGTCTGTGAGTGCGTATGCATGCATGCCCAAAGAAGGGGACAAGGTAGGATGTGTATGTAAAAACAACCGACTGGTACATGATTCTTGAAAACATCCAGGTTTCCTGTCATGCTTTTAGAAGAAATGAGTGAGACACTTATCTTCCAGAAAATGTGATATAATCTAGGTATTCACTCTGAAATTAAAAGTCAGTTCTGCCTAAAGTTACCCTACTTTCCACTTGCACTAAGCAACCTGAAATATTCATAATGAATTTGTTTTGAAGATACAAATCTTCAAATGAATATGCGGAGAAGCAAGAGCAAAGTGGATTTCAATTTTCAATACCAGTAAAAGCCACTAAGATTGATATTTTCTGAGTCTTCTTTAATGATAAATTCTGCATATAAAGGATGAGTTGGTCTTTTTCCTTCTCTCTCCCTCCTTTCTCTTTCTCTCTTTCATGATCATACATAAATTTGGGATTTCAATAAATTTCAAATGACTAAAACTTGAAGGAGTTTTAGGGTCAACATAAATTGTTTTAGTTATTATCATTATACTCAAGAGATCTCAAAGGCAAAGTTTATAAACTTATTCTTCCCCTGTGAAATTATTTTCACAAGTTGTGGAGTATATTACAGCAAAGATTTGGGATACAAAATAGTAATATAACAAAAATACTATTCTAATGGACCATGACTCAAATTTATGTTTGTTCATTCTTAATAAAAAAAAAAAATTAAAAAACACAGTGTTTCAATTTGTTTCTTGTTTTTTTTTTTTTTCATTTTAAAACTATATAGCTCCTTCTCCTACATTTTTTACATACTGGACAACCTTGCAGGGAAATTAATCCATTTCCAAAAAAAATTAAGATGAAGTATCCTTGAGAATGACTGATTATCCATTTCTGAGGTGAATACAATATTTATAGTTTTAAAGGCTGGTGGAATATACTGTTGCCTCTGTTTCACATGCTTAATTGAAGATAAAGCCTCAAACCAACAAGGTAGCCAGTGTCACCTCCATATCTTACCCCCAGAGAATCAGAACACTGTTCTAAATTATTTACTAAAACTCTCTTCTGTGTAGCTATGGTCCCAAAGCAGATTCTTTTCACCACAGACATTTTCAATAACAAGTGGCTCACTGGTGGGCAAAAGAAGAGTTCTAGTTGTTTTGTTGAGTGTTTTTCATTTGGGTTATTTATGTGCTTTTAACTATTTAGACTGGGATGTTTAAAAATGTAGTCCAAATTCTGCAGCCTCATAAATGGAAAGTGAGTCTATTTCATTAGCTGAAAATCATCAGAGGAGAAAAAGATCAGAGGAAAACAGACAGCATAACTTTCATATACCACAAATCACCCCATCTAATTATCAAGATAAGTAAATGTTTATCATATTGAAACTGTCTTGAATAGAACATAAATTAATAATTTATCTCACATAAATATTTCTAAAGCCCTTGCCACTATGTCATCTGGCATTTTAATTATCAACCAGCCAAGCTGGAGGTGTCACTTGGACATTCTCATTATGTAGCCTGGGATATAGAAAATGTGGCACAGCACCTGGGCACTGAAAAAAAGATGTACTTTTATGAATAGAAAGGTCATGAATATTGAGAATGTGCAAATGGAGGGAAATTAATAAATTAACCAGGATATAGCTTATTAAACTTTCATATCAGTAATCATATTAAAATATATTGCAAGTATTGAGTAAAGTGATCATTAAGTATTTTCCTCATCATAGGCAACAGAAGCTTTCTCCAGGGACACATTAAAACAATTCCCTCCACAGTGTGAGCTGAGATTATGTAAGACCAGGAAACATGCTGACTAAAAGGAGCAGAAGGAACATCTGCACAAGGTAGAGAGATACCCTCCAAAATAATTCTTGGGTTACAAGCCACTGGAAAAAGAAGGAAGTCAGGTAAAAAGAACCTCGAATTGGCCTTTTCTACAGCCTAATTAACATTTTGCAGGCTTCATATGATTTCCAGGACCACCAAAGAATACATGAGTTCAGCAAAATATTCATTAAAAGCAAAATAATTCAAAGTACGAAATGAGCAATAACTTACTATAATGTCATCTAGCTTGCTAACAATTTAGCCTGCTTGCTACATCTATACACACAGCAAAGAATGGGGCAAATTTTTTTTTAATGAAAAATTGATGCCCTTATTTTTTCTAGTATTTAAAAATAATATTTCTTTATAACAAATTAAATGACCTTACAGATTCTGAGTCTGTACCTTCTGTGCCGATGGGCTTTTGATTTCCATATTTCCTTAACATTTTAAATAGTTTGTCCCAAATTGTTAGTGTGTACGATACATGCTGATATTCAGAAAAGTCGGGGAAATGTTATCATGAATGGCTCTATAAAATTTACTTCCAAGTTTTTGCCCTAGCCTTTGACATCTTGTTTGGGACAGGTGAGAAATTATCTTTGATGAGCCTTTAACCCTGTAAGAGAGCAATAACAGAACCCACACCTGGGCTAGGTTTTAGGCATGCTGAGCCTGAGCCCCATAGAGAGTCCATGCCACTCCTGACAGCAACAGTTAAAGCCATTACTGACTAGATTTTAACAGATATCTGTTCTTCATGGCTCTCAGACCACAAGTAATTCTCTAGGATCAGGCTATATCTCTCATGGATGACCTCAGAAGCCTCTAAATCCAGTATTTCCCATTGATTTTCTAGGGAACCCCCAAATTCAATATACCTAGTCTCAAAAAATAACAGATCAGTCTATTAATTCATTTGTTATTTAGGACTGAATACAAAGTTCTGAGAGGGATGAAGAGATTTAATAAGAGACAGATTCTGCTTCCCAGGAGTTTACCCTACAATGGGAAGGAGACGGTATTATAGCAGCACAAGGTAAAAGATGCCATGCATCATCAATGTAAGCCAGAACTAGTGTCACTTTGGTTCAAAGGAGGGAGAAAGTATTGTCAACTGCAGGATCCAGGGGAAAAATTTTGGAAGAGGTAAGATTTAACTTAGCTGGAACTTTAAATATAGATAGTACATGGATATAGACTTATGATGAAAATTGGGCAGCCTGTGAAACTGGGCAGTATCAAAACATTTGAAGAAAGAGAAAGCACATGCCTACTCTGGAATACCAAGACAAACCTCGGTTTCCCTAAAAGCTGTAAAATAAAGTGCAAAAACTGATAAAGTGATAGAAGATATTTTGAAGCAAACACAGTAAGTCCATATTAATATGATTCTGAACTACTGGAGTAGTTAACCAGCAAACCAGCAAACATTACCGCCCAAAATGAAGTGATATTAGGTAATCTGTTCAGCCTTTTTGTCACCTGCAACAAATTAGGCTTTCAATATGCAAAACATCTTCCTTCCAGAAAAACAAATGATCACGATTCCATTTAATTGTAATTTAATGAGGCATAATTT